TATTATTTTTGAATTCTTTCAATCTTGTCTATTATTTTTTATATTTGTTTCAATTTTATATAATCCATTATGATTCCTATTCTATAAAAAAATATGATAAAATACCTAAATTTACCCCAAAGTATAGTAATAAGGATAAATCCACCCTGAACAAAAAATAAGAATAAATTTACTTGTAAAGTTTTTGACTTGGATAAATCACACTAAATTTAACATATGACATCATTCGACTACAGCAATCTATCAATTTGTTATATTGTTAATAATGAATTGCTGACGTTAGATGACGTCAAATTAATGGATTGTTGACGTCAGATGATATCACAAGTTAAATTTAGAGTGATTTATCCAAGTTGAAAATTTTATAAGTGGATTTGTTCTCATTTTTTGTTCGGGATGTATCAGTCCCTACCACTATATTTTAGGAGTGGATTTGGGTATTCTGTTAAAAAATATTTAGTCCTCTAACTATATTTCTTTTGATTTTTTAGTCCTTAAATTTATATTCACCGTAAAAATAGTTTTTAATCTTATTTTGCTAAATGTGTTTTCAGAAAATTGTTTTACAGAGTGTACTGTAAGTAATCTACTTTGTAAAATTATTTAAATATCTTTAATTTTATTTTTATATTATTTTTTTGAAATATTTAATTAATTTTCATGACAAACTACATACAATATGCCATATAAAATAGATTAATTACTCAAGTTTATTACAAGTTTTAACTAATTTGTCTTTATAAAATATTTTTTAATTTATCATATTTTATTAGGATTATAATGTCACTTTTTTAAAATTTAAAGGACTACTTTTTACATAAAATCTAACAAAATTTTGTACGGTAAACTATTTTAAAATATTTCCAAAGTTTATAGACCATTTGGAAAGAAAATAAACTTTTTAAACTAAAATGAAATTAAATTTATAGTTAATAGACTAAAAATTACATTAAGCCGAAAACTAACCAAACTAAAACCATCCTGAGCGGCGCAGCCCCACCCCACCTATTCCAAAATGAAAAAGATGCCCGCCGTCCCCCTATTAGACTCGAAAGGGTAAAAGGTGCAATTCAGCCCCTATACCTGCAACGTTGTGGCAAATCAGCCCCTATACTAGAGCAAATCAACCCCTCTATTATATGAAATTCGCAAATCACTCCTTCTGTTAAGGATGACGTTAGAAAATGTCATCTTTCCTGTTTTATTTTTGTGGCCCGTTAACAAAAGATGATGATTGGACAATGACATGGCATTGACTTAAAAAAAAAACCACTTGACTTGGGAAAAAAAATATTTTTGAGATTTTTTTTTCACTCTTAAATATTTAAACATATAAAACGAAACACAGAAAAATCAAAAGAAAAAAAAAAAAATCAAACTAATTGATTCATCCACGTTTGTTATTTTCTTTTCATCATCTCCATTATCACCCATCTCTTACCAGTTTTTCATTCCTTTTTCTCCCTCATTTTCCTTTGTTTATTTTCCCCAAAATTTTCAAGTTTCTTCCACTTCACAACTCAATGGGATGCGAATTCATCCTTTTCCCTACCTCTTTCCTTTAATTTTTTATTTGGACCTTGTGCAACTTTCATTTGTCGTGATTTTGTCAACTGATCTAGTTCTAGGCTTGTCGTTCGGCAACCGTGGAGTCCTAATTGAGACCAAAGCTTGCCAAATGGTGAGCCATAGGTCTGAACTAGACCTACACTTATCAAACAATAAGACATAGTGCCACAATGAGCATGTGGGGGAGGGAAGAAGGAGAAGGGAGAGGAAAGGATGGGAGAAAGAAGGGAGGAGGGCGCCAGATCTAAAACCCAAATTTGGGTTTTATTTCATTTTTCTATTTTTTTTTATTTTTTAAATTTCTATTTGGATGTGTATTGATTTAAGTTGTAGATTTGAAACTTGATAAAGTATTGGGTTAAGAGGGATGTGCAAAGATTATGGTTGATTTGCTTGACGGGTTTTGGTTGGTTGTTGATGTAATTTGTAAGATTGAGAATGGATGGATGTTGGGAATGTTGTTGGAGTCGGAGGATAGAGTTACTATCAAGATTTAGCTTTTTTACTGGATTTAATATTTTATAGGTTAACTCAACTGAAGTGAGTTGTCAATACTAGCGCCCAATCAGTGCCACATCACCAGGTGGAGTAAAATTGGTCCACATCAGCACCCCAATCAGCTCTCAGTCAGTGCCAACTCATTAGGCTTTAATGGGCAATGGATGAGTCTAATAGTTGAATGACGTCATTCTCACTAAAAAGGCTATTTTGTGGATAACACGAAGTAAAGGGGTTGATTTGCCAATGTTTCTAGTACAGGGCTGATCTACCACAACATTACAGGTACATTACAGGTACAAGGGCTGAATTGCACCTTGTGCCGACTCGAAAGTAAGGACGAGTATTTGGTACAAATATATTTTTTATTAGTAAATATTTTATTTAATTATAAAAATAATAGATAAGTAATAGGTATAAAACTAATATATTTATAAGTATTAAGTTAAATAATAAATATAAGGGTTTAGAATTGTTTATTTAATTCATTTATTTAAGTGATATATTATCTATACTAATTTGTATAATTGAAATTTGATATATAATTATTATACTTAATATTTGTCTAATAACAATAATTTTTAAAAATAAATATAATAAAATATAAAAAATTAAAATTAAAATTAAGTAATATCTATAAATTAAATAAATGGCATATACAATAATAATAATTTATATAAATAATAAATTTTAAAATAAATATATAATACACATAGTAATTTATATTAAACTTTTTTGTTTTTAAACCAAATTTATAAATATATACCCATAAATTATACAGTATCTATTAAAATAAATACTAAATATAAATCTTTAAATATTTAAATAAATATCAAATTTAAAAATTTACATCTAAAATTTTTTAAATTAATATCAAATGCAATTCATATCTGATTTGTACCAAGAAAATGCTCACCCCTCTGGAAAGCAGGTCGGCTAAGAGCCCAATTGCCCGGGAGGAAATAACGACAAAAATAGATCCGTCCAGTGGCCTAGCCGGCTAGCCCTAGCTTTGCTTCCCAAACTTGTAACTGCGCCCTATATTTCCATCCGAAGAAAGTAGGAATAAAACGTCAAATAAATCCCGATTACAAAAAAAAGGTCAAACAAATCCTAAAGTTCTTAACTTTTGGCAGATATGCCCTTTAAGTTTTGTTCTTTCCAATCAGCTCATAATTCTCTTCAACCTAGTGAACTGAAATATGCTTATTATTATTGAATAAAAATCATTATTTATTATTACATTTCAATTAATTGTATATACAATTAAAATAAATTAAATTTATAGTTGTTGAAGTATAATATAAAAAAATTATTAAAACACTAACTAAATACTCAATAAGAGGACTACTAAAAAAAACTAAAAATTTTCTTGCCAGTGGTTTGTGCACAATTAAGGAATGCTAATTGAGGTAATTAAAGAGTGCTTCAAATCTAAGTTACAAAGCATCGTTTTTAATCTCAATTTTTATTGTTATTTATAATTTAAATAAAAAATAATGTCAACTCCAAATAACTAAACCAATTAAAACTTTAAATTTCAATGAAGTGCCATATGCTACACAAATATCATCACGAGCACCCTTATCCTACCATGAAAAGTGGTTGGTTGCACATTCCAATTGGCAAGTGATGGTTTCTATTCAATTTGGAGATGAATTTTTTAGTCTAAATGTGAACTGTATTACAAAAAGAAAAGATAGATGGGCTGATATTTACGCCTCAAAAAGTCCAGCGCCTAAGTTAAACTTTTTTTTTTTTTTTTAATTTGCTCCAAAAATAAAATAGATAAAATATCTGTACTGTACCTTTGTCCTTCGTTGCATAACACTGGGGTTTTATAAAGTAACGATAGCAAAGCGGCAGATGCAGAAAGAAAAATTGAAAATAATGGAGGGGGGAAAAGAGCACGGAGTGATTGTGGCGAAATTCGCGCCGCCGCAGCAGAATCTGATAGAGCAGTTGCAGGTCAAGTACAAGGAGTTGGAGAAAGGGTTCCAGGCATGGCTGGCCGAGCAGACTTTGCCGGTGGAGACGGTAGTTAATTCCGCCATCAACGGTGCCCAGGGTGCCGCCATGGGTTACTTCATGGGCATCCTCACCAAAGACGTCTCCACTTCTATTCCAACTGCTTCCCAGGCTAACCTCAACCCCCAAGCCATGGCTTCTTTCCAGCAAGCCCAGGTCCCAATTTCTGTTCCTTATGAACAATCCCTATTTTATCTCTCTATGAATTTGAGGAGGTTCAATTCCATGTTACATTTTTCCTGTATGTAATCTCCAAATTTTCTGATATTTACCTGCAGTGATGATACCTTCTCTTGTTGCTATGGCCTGTTAGGTTCTTCCAAAATAAACAGCTGGTGAAAAAGTCATAAACTTTATCTCGTATGCTAATTAAGTTACATCCTTTAATTTCAGGAATGGTAGTAGAGAAAAGTGTCTTCTTTAGGAATTACTTTCAATTGGGTCTTTTTTCTTGTGTTTCTTGGAATTGATTCTGTTCTTATCAGTGCATTAGCTTGAGATACGTGAAGCCTCTTTTGTATAGTATTTGTATAAGCATTGAATGAGGTCTTTATTGATATATATTAACAGGCTCTAGCAGGGGGTCCTCTGATACAAGCTCGAAATTTTGCTGTAATGACTAGTGTTAACGCAGGCATATCTACTGTAATGAAAAGATTGAGAGGGAAGGAGGATATTCAAAATAGGTGACTTCTTTTATCTATCATCTACCCTTTTCCTATTCATTATTTTTCTTTCAGATCGTTTGAAATTACTTTCACTGTTTCTCTCCACTTGCTTTTTTCCCATTTTCTAAATATCCTTTAGTTGTCTTGATAGTTGAAAACGTGACTTCCTTCACTTATTTTCAAAAGTTTGGTTACAAATGTGTATGTTTGTTGGCTTGTGGTTGTGGCTTTGGAGTTTATTGCAGTTGATCAAAAACACAGTAGGGAAAAAGGAAAAAGGCATAAAAGATGCCAGAGATGATGTAATATAACGGAACTGTCAAGATATCACAAATACATTGATGTTCTATTGCATGTCATCATGCGTAATAACCTTGCTATGCATTGTGGCAGATTGTCATAATTAATCTCATCTCAGGCAGGTGCCAATTAGGATGCAGTCTTGGTTATGTCTGAAGATTCAAGCTGTAGTAGGAAATTTGGCCTTCAACAAAACTAGTTTAGATGAAGCCCCCCCACAAAAAAAAAAAAATCTTCTAAAGAATAGGTAAAAGGAATTAAAGTTAAAATAAACATCAGAACTTTCATTTACTCTTCGGCTTGCAAAACAAACTTATCCTGCTAACTGCTATGGGCTATGGTAGGGTACTTAATCTCATTATGATCATTAGATATGATCCTGAAATATTCAAGTTGTAGGAAATGTGGACTTCAATTGAATTTGTCTAATTTGGAGAGAGATTCACCTTTAATTGGAGCTTTTTTTATTTGCTTAACAATGTAATAAACTAATAATGTTCCTGGCCCCAAAATATTACTATAATAAAATGATAAAAAGATTCTGTTTTTGTCATATAATATATGAGATGGTTCATAAATTAACTTCATAGGTTGGCACAAACAACCACTGAGCTGATTCCGCTTGACTTGTGACTGCTATGTTAATCTTTTAAATTCTTCTTGACACTGACCTTTTGTCCCTATTATTTTGCTGAGCTGTCCTATTGCCCAATACTTCAAAAAATGTTATATCACCTTCTTATCTTTGCACTGTTTCATGGGCTATGTTAAAGAAAGCACCCAAATTTCTATCCTGAATCAGTATGTTCCTTCATCCATAGAGGCCCAGTGAGAGGGTGAAGCATCTTGCTAGCCTCTGAATTTCTGTTGTTCTAAGGTACAGATCTGAAGTTTTTCATCTTTTGGATTTTCTTGGAGTCTTGATCCTCACTGTTGTGTTGACATCATGGTAGTATATTTGCACTAGCCTTTTTGTACATGGTCCTTTTGAAAAGCCTGCGATCAGCTTTTATGGGAAAAATGAATTTAGTTCATAGTTATGCAGATTGATATCTTTGTGTGTCTTCTGAATGTAGTCAATTCAAAAAGAAACTTCATATCCAGACTTTCTTCTGCTTTCTGAATGGGGTCTAAAATAGTGCAAATTAGTTTGATACACAGAGTCAGTTGGAAGGTAAAACCGTGTATCCCAAAAATGTTGTCAAATCATAATTTTCAAGAAGCTTCTCTTTGATTTTCATGTAAGAGAGTAAGACACTTTTTTGGGATCAACTTGATCCTATTAAGATTGTAACAATTTAGGTTTGTAACTTTGTATTAGATTTTGCAGAGATAGTGGCCATAACATTATTTTGAGTTTTTACACGTTTAATGAGTAGCAATAAGTCTTCAAATCTAAAGCTGCTTTCACCTTTTAGACTCCCTTGCTTCCTCAGTTTCCTCTTTACAATCTCTTGTTAGTGGTAGAGGATGCTGTGTAATTTTCTGAGTTGCAAGAGGTAAATGTTCTTGCTACTCTTTCTTTCATTTGGTGACCCTCTAATCTTTGCACCTCCACTTTCTCCATCAAAAATGAAAATGACAATTAGATTTTATACAAACCATACCTTTTTCCATTTTGTTTTCTCTAGTTTATAATATACTATCTCAACTTTCGCTATTTTGTAGTTGTCTTTTTAGCATACTGAATTCTATCATGTTTGTCTTCAGCTTAAAGTAAACTGCCCATAATTTATAATTTGTAAAAATGATGGTACGTGCCAGAACTGTTCGAAATTTTGAATTCGAGCAATATCATTTTCATTTTCATTTTCATTGGAAAAATCATTATTATTACTATTTTTATTAGTATTATTATTTTTAATGTGACAAGTTAATGGTTGGCTATTGTAGAGGTTTGAACTCCTAACATTAATCCCATAATTAGGGTTTTAAGAAGTTCATGGGTACCAACTCAATTAAAAACCTGCCTAAACTGTTTGAAGAAAGTAATATGGTTCTGGAGTGGGCCAAAAGCATCTCATACATAAGCCTGTGTTAATAAAGTAATATGGTTGATTTATTTTGCTGCGGCAAAAGAACTCTTTGAATCAGATTATTGGACGCTAGCAGGATGGTAATGACAACTGATATTTTATGTGTGTTTTTCTTATCAAGTCGTATGATGACAAAATGACGAAGTTATTGGGTAAGAGTTATCATATTTTGAACAAGTATGATGTAGTTTTTTCAAGTTAATTAGACATAACTATCATCTTTCTGCTTTATTCATTGTTGGGAATAGTGGTAAACCTTTCATGCTAATAAAGCTTCATATTGTATCCATGAAATTGTTTTCATGTATCAAAGATGCTCTGCAATTCTTCTAAATCATTGTAAATCATCAGTATCATATAAGACTAAGAACCTGATATATATATGTATATATGTATTAGAATTTGGAATTATAGATTTGATCCGAGCTTATAAATGAAAAAAGAAAGAAAATTCATCAAGCTTTGATATTGTTTGATGTTTTAGTTTCAAGAAGTTGCTTAGGAGTTAAGGCTTTTAATTTATCCTTGCAGCATGGCGGCTGCTTTTGGTTCTGGAGCTATGTTTACTTTAGTGAGTGGGATGGGTGGCCCAAATCCGTTAGCAAATGCAGTATCTTCAGGACTCTTTTTTGCACTTATTCAAGGTGGTATATACAAGGTGAGTTCTCATCTCTTTAAAGTGCTAAGAAAAGCTTCAAATTCCGTTTTCATTTTCAACCTATTCCCAGTGTTTATTTTCACTGCAAGCTGCAAACATGGAAGAATATGCTCTCATTTGTAAGGGCAATGTCACTTGCTCACAATATCTGCATGACATGCTGGAATTGGGAACAGGAATTATTGAAAATATCATATATACACAATCTTCCTGGAGAACTAACTCTTTAATTACTTAGTTTTTGATTGTTTACTGTTTTGAAATTGTGCTTTGCCATCATCAGTCATACATCTAACAACAATTTTCATGTGATTGCTTAGTTAGGAGAAAAGTTCTCTCAACCTCCAGCTGAGGATATCTACTACTCCAAAACCAGATCAATGTTAAATAACCTTGGCCTCCAGAAATATGAGAAGAATTTTAAGCAAGGCTTATTAACAGATAATACCTTGCCGTTACTCAACGATAGGCAAGTAGACGAATTTTTCTGCTTTCAATTAACTTCATCTGAAATATATATTACTGATACGAAGTTTGTATTCCAGTGCACTGAGAGATGTTAAAATCCCTCCTGGACCGAGACTCCTCATTCTTGATCACATAGAGAGGTACAACCAATTTTCCATTACCAGAACTCATTATGCTCTACCATTGCATCTTATCAAGCATCGTTAGTTACAACTGAATATTTGCTTTCAGGGATCCAGAATGGAAGGAGGTGAGGAAGCAGCCGGTGAAATGAAATCCTGTCAAGGAACTCCGTCACAAAATGCACAATGAAGAAAAAGAGTAGAGAAGATGATATTGTATTTGCTTCTTTCGTCCTCAGTCAGACTTCCAATTCCTGTTATAGAATTGCTGAGAATTTGTTATAACTTCTAATTATGCCCAAGTCATTTCAGTTGCCCGCATTCCATATTTTGCATTATAAACTTGAATGCATCAATTTTCTTTAGTACTTGTCTGGAAATGGAATATCTTGAATAAAGAGATGCTTTTGAAACAATTGGAGATAGATTTTATACATTCTGACAAATTACGTTACATTTCATTCATCAATGCATATGAAATAAGGCAAGGAAAAATCCAGAAAATCTACAGCCAATATCCTCTTCCCAACTCTATATAAATAAACAGAGCTCGGAACAAGATCCACGAAATGGAAGCATCAATCAATATCTATATATACGCAGCTAGCTGATAACCTGCATGTAGACAGCTAGCTGATAACCTGCATGTAGACTGGGAATATATAGGATGGGAAATCAAAAGATAACGAAAGTTTGAGGAGATCGGCGATCAGACAGTGGAAGGTGAGCCTGAGCCTGGGAGAGTTGATCCACGAGGGCGATGATGCGGGCGTTGTAATCGCGGGCCTGATGTACGGACTCCGCCTCCAGCTCACCTAGCTGGAAGCAGAGCCTCTCCTCCGCCTCCTCGGCCACTCTCAGCCTCTCCCACGCCTTCTGCAGCTCTTTCATCATTATCTCCTCCCTCTCTCTGCTCTCCTTCAGCTCCCGCTCCAGCTCCTCGTTTCTCTTCCTCAACTCTTCGTCTTCCTTGGCTTTCTCGGCGATCGCCGATCTCTTATCAGCTATGGCCAACGACGAAGCCATTGAAACGTCGTTTGGAGGATATGGATTCTGTGGATACACCCTGCGTTTGCCTGGTTGCTTCTGGATGCTAATGGCAATTGTGGGGAGTGTGACCATACTTATAGCCGTGAATTCAAAATGTCCAGATTCAATGTATCTGGTTTTGCACCTGGGAAAGGAGAACCCCATACGTTTTAATTGCGATTACGCACTTGCTTTGCTGTTTTAATATTATTTTATTTTGTGTGTAAAAAATCTTTTTTATTTTATTAATTTTTCATCTTTAACAGTACACTATTCGATATAAATAATAGATTCTCAATTGGAGTATTTTTTTTTTTTTAACATAACGAAATTGGTTCATTTCAAACACGACGTATGACATTTACAGGAATAATAAACAGTAAAATTACAAGACGAGTAAGAAATTAGAGTAGACTCATATCTAGAGGCTAAAGGGAGGCGCATATGAAACTCGAACAACCGTAAAGGGCCCAGTTATACAGCGGCCTTTGATCAAGCAATTCAAACGGAATACCCTTCAATCTACCCATGTGGAAGGTGCGCCAGGCTCCAGGATGTCGATGTGGAGACCCGATCAGGAGGAGGCCGTTCCCTGGAGGCAGCAGGTGGGTCACGAGGTTGCCAGATCTGGGATCCCCCGTGTGCACCGCCACCGATAAAAAATGCCGGATGGAGGGGACCATCGTCGGATCTGCAAGCAAACCAAAATCAGCAAGCACCTAACAAAATCTGCAAGATAGAGCTGAGGGTCGCCGAATCTAAAATACATAAACTATACAAGAACACAAAGTAAAACAAAACAACAAAAAAAAGAAAAAAACAAGAAAACCAGAGGAGCCATCAAAAGGGATCCAAAAGCTGACAGATTCAGAAAAATCATCGAAGAAGGGAGCACAGGACGGCTTCAACATGCTTGAGCGACGGAGAAGCTCAGCAGCCCAAGCATCAAAACCTCGAAAGCTCAATTGGAGTAGTAGTTGCATACAATCGTAAGGGGAAAAAAAAAAGACTAAACTAATTTAATGCCGTTGTTAACAGTATAACAATTCTAATTTTTTTATTATAAAAAATACTGTAGTGGTGCATAATTTGGGGTCCACGTTTTTAATTTTTTCGTTGAGTTGGGGCCTATTCTATGTTAGCTTTTTCTTTCACTGATGGGCCGCCCAACCCTGATCGTGTGTAGACATGGGGTGAGGAAGTATGGGAAATGTTATGTTATTTACCAATTTATTTGGATACAAGCTAGTATGCGATAAATTTTTTTTTTATATCTTATTAATATTATAATTTTTTATATAATTAAAAAATATAATAAAAAATAAATATAAATTTATGTATATAATAAAATAATTGAGTTTATATACAATCACAAGTTTGTTTATAAAATCCTTTTTTATATATATTAAAAGACAAGTGATTTTAAGGTTACCAATTAAGGAATTTTTTGTTGGGGCCTAGAAATAGTTTACATGTGTTTGATTTATTTATTTTATAGTCAAGAACCACTTTTAATTTTGGTTAATTTTAGCTTAGTTGGGTGTTAAAAAGATTATGATCATTTGGAGGATGACCAAGGGACCCTAGTTGGAGGGCCTGACGTGAATGGGATGTTATGCTTGCAACCAAAACTCGCATGCATGCAAACACTTTGTTTTGTTTGACTATTATTTTTTGAGAGTTTGATGTGATATAGTCACCCCTTCAATCATACTTTCCATTTCCTTCTCTAACCCTGAGTTTGGTTTTACAGTTAGAACATCCTTGGGGAAAAAGGTCTAGAATCACATTCAATTTCAGGGGGTAGAAAATCACAAGATGTTGTTGTTGGCATTCTAGTTCACATGCTTAGAACTATGCCTCCTCTGCAACCATATTCAAGTTGTTATTCGTCTCACTCATTGAGGAATAAATTTGAGGGAGGAGTTGGTATAGCTTATGGATTCTTTATGCCTCGGGTCAAGAATAGCAGACGCTTTTAATGAGTTGAAGAGCTACAGAGATATGAAAGATTAGCTACTTTCCAAGAGTGGAACTCAAGTGATAATGAGAGATGCACAGCTTTTCTTATGGTGGTTCAACCTTGTTTGAGGGAAATTTGGTGTCCTAGATGATTTTAGATTATGAAATAGGACATTTGTATCTACTTAATATAGAATTAACCATAAAAAACCACAATCTTAGATTGATATATAACATATTTCTTGATAGGAAGATTAACAAATTATGTACATATCTTGAATGAAAATTTGTTATTATCATTGTATTTGTCATCCGTTGGAATTTTACCAAATGCCAATGAAAATGTTGTGTATAGATGTTCCTTCTTTGTTCTTGACTTCTTGGTTTTGCACTTCTTCCTTTTGGAAATATATTGAAGTCGAAATATAGAGGTCAAGTAGGGGCCAAATTCTTTTTCGGATTCTTAATCAAATTGTGTGCTTGATCCACCTCAATAATTGTTTTCAAATCTTTCAAATTCAATCGTTAGAAATTACATTAGTAAAAATTAAAATAAAAAAAAACTATTAGAAATTACAAAAATATTATAGTTAAAATGTCATGGAGAACTGTAAATTTACAATTAATGATATGTTATTAAATAAGTGAATATATATGATATTATGTGTGACTTTCTAAATAAAAATAGTTTATCATATAATGATAAATTATGATTATAAACTTACAATACCACATAGTATTATAACAATATCATTTTTATTTATATGATATTAAAAAATTGTTATGTAGTTTATATTATACAACTAAAATTGTTAGATAAAAGGTTAAGTTCCCCAATATTGGGATTCTCCTTTCATCCAATAGTTCTATTTTATAGTTCAATGCAATTCAAATTATAAAATAAGAATATGATATGATACTACTATATTTAATAATTTAATATTGAATTGTACTAGACTGCATAATAAAAAGCTCATTTAATATGTAATTTAAATTGTTACTTTTGAAAATTATTGTTAATTTATGTATGTGAGACTTTTGTGCATCTTGACTAAAAAAGTAATATTGTTTCCATTCCATTAATCTATTTGTCAATATTGAATTAAAAATGATATATTTACAAGGCCAAATGTGTGTAATTTTGTGAATTTACAATTATAGCATGTTTTGGTATGATTAAATTTTTTTATTTAATAATTTACTATGATATTATATATATTTATTTGATTAATAACATACCATGATTGTAAGGGATAAAAACCACTTTGTTCACATTTGTATGACATTGGATGTAAGGTTAGACCCCCAACTGGCTTGGTTATTGTCACCAAAAGAAATGTTAGGGTCCAATAATTTAACTCAAATCACATAAATACGAAAGGAATAAGAGGGATACGGAAAAGGTTTGGAAAAGGCAATGAATTACCTACGAGAAAGGAAGCGTGCGAGAAAGGGGAGCGGAAATTCAGGCTTCGATATGAAGAGTAAGTTTGTCATAAAAAGTTTTAATTGACAAGTTGGGTGCAACTTTAGCAACAGAGAATTGGAGATGGATTCCATTTCCTATTTTCAAAAAAAAGAATTGTCAAGGAGTGAGTTTGAAGTCCACCCATGAGAAAAGAGAATGCACCTTAAGTTAACAGGTTATCAGTTAACTTGAAGGATTAAGTGTCAAAAAAAAAAGATTTTTTTTTATAAAAACAATAGTTAGTAAGTTAGTATTATTAGATATTAACAACTGAAGATTCGATCTCCAAATTTAATCAACAACTCACTGAGCTCATCGAGGCATGCAAACATCAGATCCGCGTGATGGAATTCAAAAAAAGGAGAATTGGAGATGGATGATTCTAATCTACCTAGTGGGTAGTATCCTCCAATATTAGACGCTATCGTGGGGTAGGGACTATTGTAGCATCATACTATGCTCTCCCCAGGCTTTTGGTATTATAGGTACAGTTATTCAAGGCTCTTGGACGTCTAATAGGCTGCTGTGATTTGTGAGAGTTTTTATTTTTTTGAGTATTGTTATGAGTGATAAGTTTAAATTTTTATTGGAGAGAAAATAGAGTTTTAATTTTTAGAAAGGTGCAAAAACGAATGAAAAATAAGTAAAAAGAGAATTTATGAAAAGTTTGGATTTAAAACTTTTAAACTTGTACTGTTTAAGAGTTTTTTGAGGTTAAAAAAATATTTAAAAGTGTAAATTTTTAAAAAGAAAATTTAAATTCATGAAACATAAATAGTATCTAAAAGCTGAAACTCTCGTAATCTGCACCAAACAGG